AACTTAGCTGGGCAGCTGATAGTAGTCATTCCCTATAATGACTGGCAGTTGGAATTCAGACCTTGGCAGTTATAACTGGTAGATTGGGCTGGAGCACTGCTGGTGGAAGTCAAGTTCCTGAGGGAAAAGAAATCACCCAAACTTCCCTGAGGGTATACCTACGAATCTCCTGGGAAGATTCGCTCCTCCTCTTGCTCCGGTTTTGTTTCTTGGATCATCCTCATCTCACCCCTGGATTTGGGACAATAGCCGCCGTCTGATCTACTGATCGAGGTTCATCAAACCCCAAGAGTTGGGAGGAGTCGCCAGCCTGCCAGCCTCCACCACTACTACTACTACTACGTGAAACGAACCCTTGGGTGTCTGTGAGTTCTATGAGGCATTATGGCGAAATTCAGAACCCTAAGACTGGGGAAATTACTGGGAGGAGGAGGAGGGATTAGTGTCTGAAATGATGGCGTGGTATGGTAGTTTGGACATTTGGGACATCCTTGACCTCCGCCTCATGGGGACTAGCCTCATGCTGATCTTTCTAAGAGAAATTGTTCAAGCACAAGACTTCGTGTCCTGTACTCTGGACTTGTTATCAGGAAGGGCCGTCCCTGGAGCAGGTCATCATGCTTGGTGAAGTTCACAGTCAGTGGAAAAGAGGAAGACCATGAACGAGATGGAGTTGACACGTGGCTGCAACAGTGGGCTGGAACACAGCCATGACTGTGGGGATGGCGCAGGGCCGGGCAGCGTTTTATTCTGTTGTACGTGGGGTGGCCAACAGTCGAACCGACTCAATGGCACCTAATAGCAAACAACGCACGCAGTGCAAGCGCTGGGTACTGTGAGGAGGTGGGGTGAAAAAACCCTTGAAGGTTCCCCACTTCAGAAGGGGGATGAGATGAGCAGAATCAAGGGGAACAGTGAGTTTGGGGCCCACTTCAGGGTGAGGGGACCTGGCCTGCGCCGGTTCGGGGAGCGGAGTGAGCGGCTGTCGCGTGGGAAAGTGACTGCGGAGAGTACAAAGGTGCGCGATGACGGTGGTTCTTCACCTGGCGCGGTCCTCAGCAAGGAAAGGCTGCCCGTCCCAACGAGACACCCCCTAGGACCTAACCCAGCCTCCACTGAGAAGTCCCAGCGGCGAGGGGATTCCAGACCTGGGTAAGGCCCAACCTCCAGCCCTCCCGGCCGCGGGGACTGGAGGACTCACCCGACTGGGACACTCCCTAAACTCCTCGACTGCTGGCCGGAAGTCGGCGGCGCAAGCCCGAGCCCTAGTCAGCCCACCACGCACGCGCGCAAGCCACCCCGCTGGACAACAACTCCCGGGATGCAATGCGAGGACTGGTTGTCATCCCGCTCCCCGCTGGCATCAACAGACCCAGAAGCCAATAGACGAAGGAGGCCGCCCAAAGGGGCCTTCGATAAGCCAATCTCTCTGGAGAAGAGGCGGGCCCTACCAAGGGGCAGTTCCCAGGCTGCCCGTGGGAGTCTCAGTGACAAACGGGCTTGCCCCGCCCCCCGCACTGGCTCTTGGTTTCCGGGTGCCTGTTCCCCTGAGAGGTGAGTCGGCTTCAGGTGGGCGCGGGGTGTTGCGGTGTCGCAGGCGTCATCCCGAACTTAATCCCGGTGACGAAGTTGAGCTGCGCGCCAGGTTGTCATAGCTACGCCAGGTCCGAGGCCAGCTGGGGCTCGGAGCCCGAGCGGGGCGCCCTTGGGGGCCGGAGCTGCTGGGCCTGCGGAGCTTCGGGAGCCAGCAGCCGCTGCGCCTCCTGCATCCTTGCCAGTGAGCCAGGAACCTTATCGATGATCTCAGCCCCCGGCTTGCGTTGTTCCCGTGTTTCGTTTGACCTGTTAGCGCTCAGCGAGATGCTGGAAGGGGTTTAAGCCAGGATGCTGGAGATTAGGCGCAAGATATGTGTGTAGCGAATTGAACTTTTAGGAGGGATTGTCTGTCAGCCCGGAGATCACATTGTTCATTTCGTGTGAGAACTTTCGTACTTATTGCTGAAATAAAAGCAGCTTTTTTGTCCCTTGGCTTCCTTTCAGGACGTGTGGCTTTTCTCCTCTGAAAGACAGTGAAAGGATCTGGTGGAAAGACAAGCTCTTCTGACTTTCAAGCCCTGTGCTGTCCTCAGGAGTCTGGGGTAAACGCTGTGACAGCCTGCCCTCCCACAGGGCGCTCTCTGCCACCTCAAAGGAGCATCTTTTCTAGGTGTTGGGTTAGAGTTCAGAAAGGCTTCTTTGTAGTCATGATCTGGGATGTCTGAGTTGCTTCCAAGAAGAAAGAAGTCTCTTTGAGCTCCCCATTAAAGAGTCCCCCAGAATCTAGCTGCTTGGCATAGGAGAGGCTTCTATCCAGGGCACAAGCCAAACCGTTTTGTATTGTGCTAACAGAGCTGAAAAATAGGTATTCCAAGGGAGCTCACTTGTTGTTGTTGTTATATGCTGTGGAGTCGGACCTGACTCATAGTGACCCCTCCTTGGGTTTCTGAGGCAGTATCACTACGGAAGTAGATTGCCCCACCTTCCTTCCGAGGAGTGGTTGGTGGGTTTGAACCGCCAGCCTTCTGGTTAGCAGTCAAGTACCTTAGACACTATGCTACCGGAGCTCCTTAGTAATGGGTTAATCTGCACTAACTCCAGGGAGATGAAGAGAAGGGGAGGCCAAACTGCAGCTCTTCCCCAAAAGCATGTTTTTTTACAAGCTGCCCTTATCCTTGAAAGATAAGTCAAGCCATTTTTGCAAAGTGTTTACACAGGCTATTTCCAGGAGGGGATGTCTATAGAGTAACTGAAGTGTGATTTATAGTTACTGATGCATGACTAATAGTTTTACCTTTTCCCTCAACTTCTATATAAAAGCCCTTCTCATTTTCTGTACTTCAGAGCGATTTGTAATTTTACAAATGGTTGCCCAACTGCAGTCGTCCTATCCGTTAACCTTTTTGTTTTGATTTTAACAGAGGCTCCCCTTTTACTCTTTGACACCCCAAATGGCGGCGAAGATGGAGATAACGTTGAGCTTGCAGCCCCCGTCTCCAGATTCCCCTAAACAAGAGAGACACATAATAGCGAAGCTGGAAGAGAGACGGGAGCCCGCGCTGCCCAATCACTGCCCCGATCCTGAGCTGTCCCGCCAGCGCTTCCGACAGCTCTGTTACCAAGAGGTATCTGGCCCCAAGGAGGCGCTCTGCCGCCTCGGACAGCTGTGCCGGGAATGGCTGCAGCCTGAGCTGCACTCCAAGGAACACATGCTGGAGCTCCTGGTGCTGGAGCAGTTCCTGAATATGCTGCCCCCGGAGATCCGGGTCTGGGTGAGGAAGAGGTGTCCGGCAAACAGCAAGGAGATGGTAGACCTGGTGGAGGAGTTTCACAGAGCCTCCAAGAGACCAAAGCAGTGGGTAAGGAAGGTCCCCTCTCCTGAGGCCCTGGCGCCTCTCGTTCATCTGCATGGTGTTTGGTCCCGGCTTTCCCCCTTACTCTCGGTGACACGCAGTCTAGCAATGGACTGAATGGCTTCTGAAGTTACTCCGTCTCTGTCTAGGAATCCCCACCAAGTTGTGTCAGCAACTTTTCAGCAAAAGAAGTTGCTGGCATTGCAGTGAGGAAGCGTCATCAAGGTTCTTGTGGTGCCTTGAAGGGCCTCATGTCTCCAGAAGAAGTTTTGAAGTTGTTGAATCTCCACCGCCAGCTCTGTCCCCACTTCCTCTTGAAGTTTTCCCAGAGTCAGAGTTCTTAGCCTTTGGAGCAGGAAGATGCAGCTTAACTGGCCAGCGTCACTATCCCATCTCACTCGCACCCCGAGTCAGACCCAAGTCAGGGCCTAGGCAGGAAGTAAACAGCCATGTGCTTTGGAAAATGGGAGTGTTAGGCAATCGGGGTGGGGCAGTCTTCTTTAAGTCCTGCCACTTCTGGGGGTCTCCTTGTCAGGACAGCCTTTGGCAGAACAGTTTATTAGATAAATGGTTTGTAATGGCCCCTCCTGAGACTGGTCTCCATTCCTACAGTCCAATGTGCCAGTGTCATAAGCGGCCCTGATCCTTTGGTTCTAGCTTTCCTCTGATGCCTGTAACTCCACACAGAAAGGCCCAAGTTTTAGGGGCAGCCACTCAGGAAACACTGTATTTTGCTGACTTGTAGCAGCCACAGTCTTGTCATTCTGCATGTCCTTCATTTTGCTGCTTTGGAAGGTTTCAGTGGCTCTGTGAAAGTTGACCTCCGGGCTGGCATTGGGAATTCCTGAGGTAACAGGGTCATTGAGCCGCAGGGAGAGGTAGAGCTGCCGTCAGTCAGTCCTTGGCCAGAGTGTTCACGGACATCATGGGTTTGTTCCTAGGTGGCTGTCTGCATGCAGGGGCAGAAGGTGCTCTTGGAGAAAACCGGAGTTCAGCTTGGGGAACAGGAACTGCCAGACTTTCTGGACGAGTCTTCCGAGGCAGGACCTCAGGACCAGTTGAGCCACCACGAGGAGAAATCCCAGCTCTTCCAGGACTCAAGCCTCAAATTGGCCGGGACAGGTAAACGTTCTGCACCTGTCCCCTCCTCATCAGCACCCTTCAGATCCGTAAAACCATCGCATGGTCTTGAAAGACATGGTCCGGGGTGTGGATGTGTTTTAATGTTGTGTGTAATCATGGATCTTTATTTTCAAAAAAATCTCACCAATTAGAATGGTGGTGAGACTATAAGTAAGAAGTATGTGTCCATCATTTTCTATTAACCGATATTTTGACAGTCAGGTGCACAAGAGGGTTAGTCTACTCTTCTGTTCCTTTCAAAGCTTTCTGTAGTGAAGAGAGATCCAAACAAGAACACTATGACTTCTGATGAACTTCTCTCCAAGCCGTGGCTAAGTTTCATCAGTTTAAACAGCCTAGTGCCTAAGGCACTTGACTGCTAACCAGAAGGCTGGCAGTTCAAACCCACCAGCTACTCCTTGGAAGGAAGGTTGGGAAATCTACTTATGTAGTGATACGGCCTTGGAAAACCAAAGAGGGGTCACTATGAGTCAGATCCAACTTGACGGCAGTGAGTTTGGTTTTTTGGTTGATTGGGTGGAAGGGTGGCGTAGTGCCTAAAGCATCTGACTGCTAAACAGAAGGCTGGCAGTTCAAACCTAGCAGCCACTCCTCAGAAGGATGGTTGGGCAATCTACTTGTGTAGTGATACTGCCTCGGAAACCCAAGGAGAGGTCGCTACGAGTCAGATCCAGCTCAACAGCAGTGAGTTTGGTCTTTTTTGGTTTTGGTCAGTAAAGTGGAAACGAGGTTTATAAGAAGAACAGAGCCTTGTTTCCTTATAACATACCGTGATCAGTGAAACATTTTGATTTTTCTTGTTTTTTCCAGTCTGTTTATTGTGACATGGGTGAAGGTTTACAGAACAAATCAGTCTCCATTCAGAAGCTCAGACACATTTTGTTTCATGTCATTGACTGTAACCCTCACAGCGCAGCATCACTCAGCCCACTGCCTCCCTGCTTCCCGTTTACAGGCCTCCTCCTTTCCTAACCTTTCCTGCCTCCTGAACTTTGTCCTTGGGCAAATGCTGCCCTTTTGGCCTTGAAGGTTGATTGTTCTAAGGAGTGCATACTTCCCTGGTGTTATGGTTCACCTTACAGACTTGTCTGTTGTTTGGCTGAAAATGGAGCCGTGGGGGTGAGTTCAGTTCCAGGCCTTATGGCTACCTAGGGGGGTGGTGTCATAGTTTTGGGAATTCCCCCACTCTTTAGCCAACCCCTAAGCTTGGTCTGTTTTGTGATTTTGAGTTCTGTTCTATATTTTTCTCCCACTTTGTGCCTTCTAATGTAGTCACTTTCAGAGCAGTTGGTAGTGGTAGCTGGGCACCATCTAATGCTGCTGAGCTAGAGTCATGGCAGCTGAGCTTCCTGTGGTCCTTAGTTCTCTGGACACATTGTTTCCCTGCATCTTTGATTCTCTTCACTCTTTTTTTGCTCTCAGCAGGAAGAGACTAATAGTTGTCCCTTAGATGACAGCTCATAAGCTTTTTAAGACCCCAGCCACTGCTCACCACCAAAGTAGGGTGTAGAACGTTTTCTTTGTGGATTGTGTTGTGCCAGTTAACCTTGATGTCCCCCAAATTGGTTTGATTATTCTTCGAATTCAGAAAAAGGACAAGGCCTGGGGCATCAGTTAAAAAACCATTAGGATTCTAGGTGAGGTCCTTGTCCCATCAACTGTGGCCTTCATGGTCCTGAAGAAAGCATACCATCCACACTCCTGCGTCAGCAGAAGCAGCTGGGCGTGTGTCCATGTCCAGGTCCATGACCTTTCGGTTGATCCCCAAGAGGGTGGATTACCTTATTCCTCATCCCTGAGATGTCCCAGACCTGTATGCAGGGGCAGAAGGTGCTCTTGGAGAACACCGGAGTCGAGCTTGGAGAACATTGTGCAGTGTGCAAGCCAGTCCCACTAGTCACTTGAGGCAGTTTAAATTTTTTGTATTGAGATGTAATTCACATCCTATACAATTTGCCCTTTGAAAGTACATAATTTATTAAGTTTCTGTATATTCACAAAGTTGTGCAACCATCACTGCTGTCTAATTCCAGAATGTTTTTATCACCCCCTACAGGACTTGTAAGGAGCTCTGGTGGCATAGTGCCTGTTTTGGTTACTTAGTGCTGCTCCAACAAGAATATACCACCAATGGGATGGCTTGAACAAACAGGAGTTTATTCTCTTACAGTTTGGAGGCTTTAAGTCTGAGTTCAAAGTGCCAGCCCCAGTGCCAGGCTCTAGGGGCTGGGTGAAAGCGCCTCGACCTTGGGCTTCAGCTCTGCCTCCTGCTCCCAGCCCACTGAAGCTAGAGGTTTTTCTTCACTCACACAGCCGCTGGCTGCTGAGGCTGACAAACCCAAGGTTGACAAATAAAAAGACACAGTCTCGATGTTACCAAACCACACATCAGGCCATTAATTCAACCCAAGGTTGACAGAGCATGGCAGGCTGCTGAACAACGACTCAGCTACAAGCAGGGTCCAAGCGTGCCATAAGCTAGAGACCGTTCCCCACCAAGACTTCTCCTTATACACAGGAAGCAGACCACATCCCTAAGGCAGCTACTCAGTTGCTCACAGTAGATTCCACCATGGAGCTGATTACAGGCTCATCATGGGGATACTACATCCAGCTGCCCAGCCACTCAACCATACCCAGCCAAGTTGATACACAAACTTAACCACCACAGTGCCAAAGGCATTTGACTGTAACTAGAAGGTTGGTGGTTCAAACCCACCAGCCAGTCTGCGGAAGACTGGACAATCTACTTCTGTAAAGATTTACTGTTTTGGAAACCCAAAGGGGGTTGCTGTGAGTTGGAATTGACTTGTTGGCAGTGAGTTTGGTTTGGTAAAGAGACTCCGTTGGCACGCACTCTCCATTCTTCCCTTCCCAAAGCCCCTGGCAACCTCCAGTTACTTTCCATGGATGTGTCTATTGTGAACATTTCAGGAAGTGGGTCATATAATGCATGATCCCTCATGGCTGGCTTCTTTTACTTAGCATAATATTTTCAGTATTTACTGGTTCTGTAGTCTGAATTAGTGCTTCAGCCCCTTCTGTCATCCCACCATATGAATGTACCATATTTTGTTTATCCATTCACCAGTTGGCGGACACTTGGCTTGTCTCCAGGTTGGGGCTATTATGAATAATGCTACTACAAACATTTGTGTGTAGGTTGTTTTAATTGCTGTGAAAATGTACATAACAAAATGTACACCATCTCGACCATTTCTGCATATACAACTCCACAACACTGATTACATCCTTCAAGTTGCACAACCATTCTCATTATCCTTTCCCAAATTATTTCACCATCATTAACATAACCTCGGGGACTCCTAAGCAAACACTCCTTCTTTCTCCCACCCACACACCTCTGGTAACTGCTAATAATCTTTGGTTTCTACATGGCTTTTTTCATAGTAGTGAGATCATACATTTGTCCCTGTGTAACTGACTTGTTTTGCTCAGCATGGTATTTTCAAGGTTTCTCCCACATTCTGGCATGCATCAGGACTTCGTTTCTTTTTAAAGCTGAGTGATACTCCCGTGTGTGTATACGTCACGTTTTATTTACCCATTCATCTGTTGACGGACACTTTGGTTGTTTCCACCTCCTGGCTGTCATAAAGGTACCACAGTGAACGCTGGTGTGCAGGTTCCTGTTTATATTCCTGCTTTCAGTTCTTCTGGGTGGATACCTAGGATTGTGGCTGCCGGCTCATATGGTGACTCTGCATTTAACTATTAGAGCAACTGCCAGGCTGTTTTCAAAGTGGCCATACCATTTTATCAGCAATGTATGAGGACTCCAGTTTCTCCACCTCACTTGTTATTGTCCATCATTTTTATTAGAGCCATTTTAGTGAATGTGAAGTTGTATCTAATTGTGGTTTTTAACAACAGCAATGACTAATGAAGAGCTCTGGTGGCACTGTGGTTAAAGTATTGGGCTGCTAACCAAATGGTCAGTGGTTTGAACCCACCAGCCACTCCTTGAGAAAAAGATGAGTCAATCTGCTTCCTTAAAATTTACAGCCTTGGAGACTCTATGAGGCAGTTCTGCTCTGACCTATAGGGTTGCTATGAGGATGAGTGGGAATTGACTTGGTGGCAGTGGTTTTGGTTTTAATGACTAATGATGCTGAATCCTTTTCACGTGCTTATTGGCCATTTGTATATCTATTTTGGAGAAATGTCTACTAAAGTCCTTTGCCCATTTTCAAATTGAGTTGCTTGCGCTTTTGTTGTTGAGTTTAAGAGATTTTTTATATATTATGCCTACTAGACCCTTATCGGATACATAATTTTCAAATATTTTCTCCCATTCTGAAGGCTCTCTTTTTACTTTGTCAGTAATGTCCTTGGATACACAGTAGTTTTAATTTTGATGGAGTCCAGTTTATCTATTGTTTTCTTTAATTGCTTGTGGTCTTAGTATCATATAGATTTTTAATTGCCTAATCCAGTGTCAGGAAGATTTACACTTAAGATTTCTTTTCAAAGTTTCATAGTTTTAGCTATTACATTTGGCACGGTTTAGGGCTTGACTGCTAGTCACAAGGTTAGCAGTTTGAACCTACCTAGCGGCACCTTGGAGGACAGGCCTGGGGATGTACTTTTGAAAGGTCACAGCCTTGAAAACCCATGGAACAGCTCTGCTCTGATAAATGTGATGTTTCCATGAGTCAGAACCAACCTGACAGCAACTAAGAGTAACACCAACTCTTACAATTAGGTCTTTATTCCATTTTGAGTTCATTCTTTTTTATATGGTGGGAGGTAGGGGTAGAAAGTAATTCTTTTGCATGTGACTATTCAGTTGTGCCTATTGAATCTTCTTGGCACCCTTGTCAAAAATTCATTGACCATGAATGTATGGGTTGGCTGTTTAAATTTAAGTTAATTAAAATCAAATAAAATTTAAAATTTAGATCTTCACTTACACTAGCCATATTTTATATACACCATAATCACATTTAGGAGCTCTGGTAGTATAGTGCCTAAGGCATTTGACTACTAACCAGAAGGCTGGCAGTTCAAATCCACCAGCCATTCCTTGGAAGGAAGATCGGGCAATCTACTTCCATAGTGATACCTCCTTGGAAACCCAAGGAGGGGTCGCTATGAGTTGGATCTAACTTGACAGCGGTGAGTTTGGTTTGGTTTTGGTATAATCACATATGGCTAACAGCTGCTGTATTGAACAGCACACACACACACGCACACACACACATTCTCTACACTGCAGGAAGCCCTTCTGGACGGTGCTACTCCAGGTGCTGACCCTCAATCCTGGAAGTCAAAAGCTGGGGAATTTCTATAATTAGGATATATGTCTAGCCCATGTTCTGGTCTCCAAACACACGTTATTGTCAACTTTGTAATGAACAAGAACACTAATCACTACTCTGGACAAAAGACAGTTGTCAGTAAGTGTCTGTGTGTGTGATGAATATTTACTGAAATAGCTCAGGCAGGAAATTTCCAATTTTTAAATTTCAACTCCTCTTTCATTCATTAATTGCTACTCAGTTCTGATGTTTTTTTCTTTTCCATGTTACTCCTTTCCTAAACTTATCCTTAAAGGTAAGAGAAAAGGAAGAGTTGGGAAACTTGGTTTGTAACTTTACACCCTAGGACCTTGCTTCCTGTGTAGATTTCCAGGCCCCACTCCAAGAGATTCTGGGGGAGAGGTGGGGAACCTGCTTGTTTAACAAGTATCCCAGTAAAGGACCACATTTTGTGAAACCTTGCAATGTATTTCATAAATTTTCTGTTGAGGTTCTTCCTTCAAAGCCCAGAAAATAGAACATACTCTTTCTAATTATAGAGGCCACCAGAATGAGAAGTGACAACAAGGAAAATCCACAACAGGAAGGGATTAAAGGAGCAAAGCCTTGTGCAGTCTCAGCTGAGAGATCCAAAGGGAATTGTCTACAGAGTCCTGAATCTAGAGTGGTGAATATAAGTGAACCCCGGTTGTCACCAAGACAGGTCAGCCCTTCAAATGCTCAAAAGCCATTCACTCACCACCAGAGACATTGCAGGCAACTGGAATACGTTAGCAACCCCCTAAAAAGCCATCTGCTGAGAGAAGTTAAGAAGAGCAATCATTTAGAACATCTTGGGCACCGGAAGAAATCTTTCAAATGTGATCACTGTGGGAAAAGCTTCTCATTTAACTCAGAGTTGGAAAGACACAAGCGAGTCCACACAGGGGAGAGACCCTACACGTGTGAAGTGTGTGGAAACCGCTTTGGGCGGCAGTCAACACTACAGCTACATCAGAGGATCCACACAGGAGAGAAGCCATTCCATTGTGATCTGTGTGGGAAAAGCTTTCGCCAGAAATCAAACCTTCACAAGCATCAAAGACTCCATCATGGAGTATAAGAGGAAAGCTTTATTCTTTACATTCATAAAGAAGTATTTATACTTCTCCTTCCTGTTATTTGCATGTAAATCACAAAGACTATGTGACTTACAAGAAAAGGAAGAGGTCCCTGAGGAAGTGATGGTGGATATTTGGTTGGTCTGTGGAGTTCCAGAAGAGGCTGACCAGGGACTTGCCCATTTATGTCATGGGTGAAGAGATGGTGGGTCTGGGTGTTGGGTCAAGGAGAACTGCAGTCACTGTTGGAGGACAGGGAGTAAATACTGAAGGACAGAAAAGATGATCCTGCCTCCTTATTATGAAATGTTCTCCCTATTGCTTTATCCTATAAAACAGGTTAAAAGATAAATTCCACATATAGTCATGTATTTACTGTCACACCAGACAATCTGTATCATGCTCATACTTCCTTAATAAAGATGAGTGATCCACCAGCATTTCAAGGTAAAAGTTAATTGGAATTTAAATCCCCTGATATTCCATCTGTAATTCCTGGCCCCTCATAACAAAGGATTGCATTAATTGAGAGGGTGTTACGTTTGTGTATCCAAATAACTAAAAGGAACATTTACCAAAAAAAAAAAAAGTTTTTTTAATGTGCCTGTGTATATATATGCATATATATACTGCCTTGGAAACCCAAGGAGGAGTCACTATGAGTTGGGTCTGACTGGATGACACATCACAACAACAACAACAACATACACACATATATATATTCACATATACATAGATAGATAGATGGGAACTCTGGTGGCATAGTGCCTAAGGCATTTGCCCACTAACCAGAAGGCTGGTGGTTCAAATTCACCAGCCACTCCTTGGAAGGAAGGTTGGGCAATCTACTTCTGTAAAGATGTAGAGATACCACCTCGTAAGCCCAAGGAGGTGTAGCTATGAGTCGGAGCTGACAGCACTGTGTGTGTGTGTGTGTGTGTGTACATATATGATCCTTTTTATATCGAAGCATCTTTGATTTAGAGAAGGTCCACACAGCAACCCTAGTCAAGAGACAGAGAAATGGTCTTGAGAGGTGAGAACCCTACCATACACTCTAAACGGCTGTTAAGGATAGGGACTTTGTTTTTCCATCATTATAGCTTTAGTAATTTACCCCATGCCCAGCCAAGAGAAGGTGTTCAGTAATCGAGTACACTGATTTCCCCACCATGCCCATTTCTGCCTGAATTAAAAGGGCTTGTTGGATGCAGTAGCCCAAAACCTCTGCCTTTTGGGCAGAGCTTTCCTGAAAGCCCAGTGGCCTTCCTCATAGTTTTTGGTGGCCCTTTAGGGCCTAACCCAAGGTCCTCTTCCTAAGTACTATGTTAGAAAATTCATGTCTGTCTAAAGAAGATCTCTTCCCAAAAGTAAAGAATGTAAATTCCCATTTTTCTTATTAAAACGAGTTGGAGACAGGAACTTCCTGAAAGTAAGAGTTTTGATTCCACAGTGTGTTTTGAATTCTTGAGAATAAAGACTCTTTTTGAGTGTCCTGATTACAAATCAGTGTGCTTGTTGAATCTTAGTGTACTTGGGTAGGTCTTCAGCTGTGGCCCCGGAATAAATGTGGAAAAATCACCACTCCAAACATCATTTGTTTCCAAAAGGTTTTCAAGTGTGTGAAACTGTGTCCCCTCCCCCGACACAGGGTTAATTTTGGCAGATAGAACACTCAACTCCTGGTGATTGGGTCAGTAAGGAACTAGGCCCAAGGACAGTCAGCCACATTTGCAGGTCTACACTCAGTTCTTCAGATACATGGGTCCCCCCATTCCCCTTGCCCACATGGGGTTCCACTGAAGAGCCTCAGCACGGATTGCTGACCTGGTTTGCAGTTGACTACCACACGCAGCACCCCAATATAAGAACTCTTTCTCCTTCGTGTGCAGTCCTCACCAATGGGTATTCTGTGATCTTTTCTGGACCTTCCCAGTACTTACCCTTGTGGGGGTGGGATGATTACTGCTTAGATTATTTGGCCCCTGGGGTGCCTTTGGGTTGATGAGGCGGAGATAGGATACATCAGGTAGGTGGAGAATGTGCACTGCACAGATTTCTCTGAAGAGCATTTTCAATCTGTAATGGATAAGGACTTTGTAAATCTATCCCTTCACACCATTATTGTGACCAACAAAATTAACAATAACTCCCCAATTCCATTCTGTAGACAGTGTTGAAAAACTTCCCCATTGTTTCTAAAACAAAAATGCTGTTTTATTGAGGTGTATTTCGTATATAAAACTCATCTATTTAAAATGCACAGTTTAGTGGTGGCAGTATATCCATAGAGTTGTGTAACCATAACAATCTACGTTTAGAACATTTTCTACAACCCAAAAAGAAACCCCATGATCCTGAGCAGTCACTTTCTATACCTATCTCAACACCTCTCTTTTTTCACTCAATATAATGTTTTCAAAGTCTATTCACGTTGTAGCCTGTATATACTTTATTCTTTGTATTGCCAAGTAACATCCTCTTGTATGGATATACAACATTTTGTTTATCCATTCATCAGCTAATGGGCATTTTGGGTAGTTTCCATATTTTTGGCTATTATAAATGATGCTTCTGTAAACTTTGGTGTACATTTTTGTGCAGACATATTTCCCTTGGGGTTTTATCTAGAGATGGAAATGCTTGGTCAGCTTTTTGAGACACTACCAGACTTTTCCAAAATGGTTGCACCATTTTATATTTCTACCCGCAGGACATGAGGGGTTCCGATTTCTCCACATCCTTACCAACACTTACTATTTTGCCATCTTTTGATAGTGGTATCTCATTGCTGTTTTGACTTGCATTTCCTGAGACTGGAGTAGGGGAGGGGATGGATAGGATTCTATTCCAAAGCAACTTTTCACCCTAGGGTAAGTCACAGAGATGAACTAGAGGCACCCGCGAAAGTCAGTCTTGGGTCTGCTCCTGTTTCATTTTGATTGTACATGCTGTCCATAGCCTGTCCCCAAACCCCGACAAATACTCTCCCACGGACTCAGCTCTTTGAAGCTGTGAGTTTGTTTTGTCCTTGCCAGAGGTGGATTCTATGGAAGGAAACAATGCCTAAACCAGGACACGTGTCTGTCACATTATTGATTTATTTGATAAAACTTAAAAGAGTGTCAAGTGTGGCTGCAGGAGAGAGCAAGAGCCAGAGAAAAAGGGCACTGCAGTTGAAGATGGTGAAGTAGAGTCAGGAGGTAAAGCTTAAGATTTTGGACGTCAAAAACGTCTGTTTATAGCACTTACGGGGATGTGGCGCCACATAGTGGAAGAAATCCAATTAAGGGTTAAAAGCGTGAGGTCAGGTTTAGGTGGATCTCCAGATGAATGGAGGGACCTGGAGCGGGAAAGCATGCAATTAACTGAGCCCAGGATTCAATCTGAAAAACCAGAACAAGCGAGAATTCGGCTGCAGAGCACATTGAAAGCACTGGTCTTGGGTCTGGAGAACTTACTCCACCCAGGGCGCAGTGAGACGCATAAAGCATCCGTGTCTACTGGAGACATACTCGCAGGGTGGTGGCCAGAGCCTGGAACCTCCAGACCCATATCAGGGCTGGTCCCACGCCGTCGCACGCAAGATACCCTTCCGCTAAGTGCGCAGGGCAAGTCCTAAAGACTCTTAGCCACCGGCACACGGTCCTGCCCCCACCATCCCCACCAGTTTCTGCGGAGACCGCACAGCGATAGGAGGCGTGAGCCGCGCCGAACCGTCCCTCGGGAAACGGACGGCCCCATAGCCCGCCGTCCCAAAGCACAACCAACACCTTCCGAAGAAGCCGGAAATGAGCTCGCGACTTCCGGTTTCCAGCTGAGCGGGCCTCTCTAAGGCCTCACCTCGTTGGTATTTCCGCCCGCGGGCCCTGCAAAATGGCGAAGGTGTGGGCTCAAGGGCTGTCTGAGGCTGCGCAAAGCTGCCTGGGAGCCCCTGCCTCCCCACTCCCAGCTGCCAGCAGCGAGCCACGCGCGGCAGCTGATGCTCCGTGCAGCGGCTGTGGGGCAAAGACAGGGAGGGACATCGATGTCTGGTGTTGTCCTCCTAGAGTAACGCCCGATTTTTTTTCCTAATCCCCAGGGAACAAGTGACCTTAAAAAACAAACACGGAGATAGCTCGGGGTGGAGAGCATACTACAGGGAGGAAGCTGGAAAAGAGCTGTTGCATTGTGGGGACTGCAGTAAATGTCATGAAACAAAATGTGTATGAACTGCTGTATGGAAAATGAATCTGCTCTGTCAACTTTCACCCAAATCACAAAACTAGAAAAAAAAAACACTCTCTTCAAGTCTACACCCACTCATAGCGATCTTACAGGACAGAGTAGAACTGCCCCAGAGGATTTCCAAATCTGTAAACTTTAGAGAAGCCTTATCTTCCTCCCAGAACAGCTGGGGGTTTCCAACCGCCCATCTTTTAGTTAACAGCCAACTGCCTTACTACTGCGCCACTAGAGCTCCTACTCCATTAAATGGCCCGCCATTCATTCACCCTCTTCTCCAAACCATAATCTGCCAATCTTAAAAGTTCCTGTTGAATATACTTAAAACCACTGATATGTAAAAAAGGAAAATTCACCTCTTCACCATTCATTCATTCATTCATTATTTATTCAATCGATCAATCAATCAATCAATCTAAAATTTCACATTATGGAGACATAATCACGGCCCACAAGGCTGAGAATGTACCCAAACCAGTAAAATTGAAACACTGAACAAAAGAAGTACAAATTCAACAAACATGGTTTTGAGGTATCCAAAGCAGCTAGAAAGTGCAGCATAGTCTCAGGTTTACAAAAATGTCTACTTATATCTTATCACCCTCCTCCCTTGACTCTTAATAGGAGGGATGTCACTACAATTTGTAGTGAGAAGCAGGCAGAAACTGGGGTGACAGTCATCTGGGTAACAGACCAACAGTTCTCCTGGTCTACAAACTACAAGATGCCTGTGCACACTTTCAAAGATAATCACTGTTGACTTGCTAAACAGTCAAAGCAAAAATACTTTGCTACTGAAATCCCACAGGGATAACATGTTTAATGAACAATTCAGAACAGTCTTCATTCATAGGAACTATGACCTGTTACACCTCCCCTTTGTACAGGTATGACGCAAGCTGGCAGATTACTTTGCGTAAACTCTGCAGTTTCCAATTCTGTGACATTGCATGCCGCAGTCATCAGAACATCGTCCCTTCACAGCATGGAAGCCCCGGAGTCAAAAGCTCAAAATGGCATTTGATGTGAAATGTCATGTTTAGTTGTGACTTCCTGAATTCCTGAGTTGGTCATTTTCAACATCAGGGGAGATATGAACAGATTATTGCCTATAAAAACAAAGCTCTAAACAAAACTTGAGTGGAACCCCTTTGAGAGTAACAACTAAATTCCTTAATTATAAAAATTATAAGATGTAATCTGATGACATCTGAATTCTATTTGAATAATGCTGTTTCATCATGATGACTGTTTCACAGACCCTGACATTCCAGCATCACATTAAGGACTCATCGGATACACACTTTCATCACCGTTTCAACAACAGAAAGCAAGAAATTTGTCTGAATCAGTTTCTTTGGCACAAAGCTTTCACTTTAAATAGTGTGTTAAAGTCCAAGCTGCAAACTATAGTTAACCAACTTGTTTAAAGCAATCAATCCTTGCATTTAGTTTTTCATCCTTGTATTAAATTTTATCCAGCATCTGTTAATAGCACCTAACTCAGTAGGTTAATAAATATATGATTAACAATCTTGTAGAAACTGTGTCCATCAAATGGCACTGTAAATAGAAGAGTGATAAAACCATCATCATAAAATTAACATGGCTCTCACTGGCTGACACAGCCTCGTCCTTCAACTCCCTGGGCTCAGAGCAGCTTGAATTACACCCAGCCAACGTGCTTAGGTGCAAGTGTACAAAAAGGCAACATCTGAAAATATTCCAACTTCACAGTATCTGATTTTGGGTTTTTTCCCATTTTTTTCTACACACCAATCATTAACAATGTTACACCAAAGAGCCATTGTGATTCCATCCACGTGTAAGATAAGCGTTTTTACAGAAATGCCATTTTTCTCATCTTGCTGAGTTTTTGCATAGCTCCCAAAATCTTGAGAAAGGGAATTTCAAAAAACAGAGAGGTGAACTGTAAAGAAAGCATCATCTGGAAATGTGAATGTCCGCTTTGAGGGATGGAATAGATTCACCGCATAAATTCTCAATTTCCCTATACGGCTTAGGGGCAAAGGATGACAAAAAGCTGCTGCTGGAGTCTATTCTGACCCACGGCGCCCCTAGAGGACAGAATGGAACTGCCCACAGGGTCTCCCAGGCTGTCAATCTTCACAGCAGCAAAGCCCAAACCACACCCACTGCGGTGCAGTCCATTCTGAGTTACAGCGCCCCTAGAGGACAGAGTAGAACATCCCCATAGGGTTTCCAAGGTTTAATCTTTACAGAAGCAGATTGCCACATCTTTTTCCAATGAAGTGGCTGGTGGGTTCAAACCACTGACCTTTTGGTTAGCAGCTGAGTGTGTAACCACTGCATCACCAGAGCACCTTTCACTCAACAATGGTTACCATTATTCAAAGCAAAACTCGTAATATGCTTCAGTAGAGATCTGGAGGCAAACCACCTTATGGGGGTCATTTTAGGGCAAAGCAGGCCCTTCTTCCCCTTCTAAGTACCTTTCACCTGATCCAAGCACCAGAAAAGGGCTGTCACAAGAATGGCAAAACACCTCCCAAACACCCGAATCACAACATGGTAAATTTCACGGACATTAACAGCCATCAAGACACTAATTCACCCATTTGGGAAATTTTTACAAGGAAATAAAAAAGAAAAAAAGCTTATGAAACTCTCCAGAAATGCACATATAAAACAGATATTACATTCACAGCTGTAGGAAAAAAAATATACAAAATTATTTACTTTCTTAGGTACAATATCTGCAGAATTGGCAAAATAAATAATTGTTCCCCTTTGTAATTTAAACACGTAAAAGAAGGAAAACAACAATAAGCTTCATTGTAATGAACACTGAATATAAAAAAAGTTCTTCCTTAGGATTATAAAAAGAGACTCTGAACTGTGACTGCATTAGAATTCTGCATTCACTCACTAGCTTTCTTCAGTCACAGAACAGAAATAAGAATTATGAAATATAAAAAATCCTGGCTAAATTGAGGTAGTGTTAACAATAAAATCACACAATACACAAGTGTAAAGTCTTAGCACACAAGGGCAACGGTTTCCCACTGAACAGACACTGAAAAGCACACGTTATGAAAACTGGTTATATTGACATAGTATTTTCCATATGGGCTTGTTATGATGAATGACATGCATATCCAACCTGAAGCATTTCCCACACCCAGCCCATCTCTTTAAAAGCTTCCTCTCCTGCATGGCTTTTCTGGTTGACACCAGCTCTGAATCCAAATTAAAATGCTGTGCATGTGTGTTGTGTTTAAGAGGCTTTTCCTCTGTATGAGCATTCTCATGGAAAATAAGGCTACAGAGATGATGAAAGGCTGCCTCGCGTTTGGGACATTTCAAGGGTTTAAATCTCAGGAACGACTACGTTTCCCCCATCATCTCTGTATTGTTCAGCCTCCTCTTCCTCCACTTCTTCCCCCTCCCTGGGGAGGGTAAGGTGAGGGCACTGCCCAAAGCTCTTCACACTCTCATTACATTGGTAGTGTGTTGCCAATGCATGGGTGTCCTCAAGGGAAGCAAGATTTGTTTTCTGACTAAAATACATATCACAGGCTTCTTCCGTAGTGTGGGTTCTCTGGTGCTGTTTCAATCCTGTGAGCCACATAAAACTTTTCCCACATATCCCACAGGTATGGAGTTTCTCTTTTAGGTGGACGTTCCTGTGCCGAGACAGATGCAAGTGTTGTCGGAAGCTGGTGCCGCACTCAGCACATTTATAAGGCTTTTCACCAGTATGGATTCTCCTGTGCGTCCTCAAGTTGGCTCTGTGATTGAAGATTTTCCCACAGTCACCACATCTAAACTTTTTTTCTTTTGAGTGAATCTTTGGCTGCAAAACGAGATATGAATCATCACTGAAGCTTTTTTGGTCGCCTTCAGGAGGCTTATGTACGTCTTTGGTTTCTTCCCAGGGAAATTCAAGAATTTCAGAAAGTCTTCTGACTCCTAGACATTGAGAAAGTTCGACTAATGGGGTATGGTTTTCAATGGTCACTAAAAGGCTTATGAATCTCTTCTTGCAAGTGGAAGTTCCACCCACTGTTTTCCCTTCAGGGCTTCCAACTTCATCTTCAGAGGATTTTTCTGGAGAATAGATAAGGGGCACAGCAATGGAGTACTTTTCTAGGGCAAGTTCTTCAAGTTCCACAGACTCCAGACTTAACTGCTGATTAATCTCAGTCTCACCTTCCTCTCCTGTTGGTAAAAAAAGAAAAAAAGCCATAGTCCACATCCTCCAGTGGTTCTGAGGAAACAACAAGCAAAGGCAGCTACACAGGGTACCAGGAAACCAAGGGTGAACTAACCTACAACCCAGATATTAATAACATACTAATTCAGGAGCCACTAGGCTCTTCTGTCCTCCCAAAGGACCCCGTTCTAAGTGACCCTGCACGGAGAGGGCGCAGAGAAGAATTATAACTCAGTCAGACTCCAACAGGATAGACACTAAGGAAAATCTTCCTGGCAGATACTGTCTGCAAGTGGTAGAGTCTTCCAGTTAGTCTAGTTAGGACTCAAGAATTTTTTAATCTTTTAAGCTATATCAAGTGACAGCTGAGTAGAAAAATATAACCCATAAACTAAGAGAAAAATCAGTCAATAGAAACAGATCCAGAAATGACACAAAAATAAAAGAACAACAACAAAAAAAAAAAAAAATTTACCATGGAGTTGATTCTGACTCACCGAGACCCTATATAGAGAACAGAGTAGAACTGGCCCATAGGGTTTTCTAAGGCAGCAAATCGTTATGGAAGCAGACTGCCGTATCTTTCTCCCACAGAGTGGCTGGTGGGTTTGAACCACTGTCCTTTTTGGTTAATTGCTGTGCCCTGAACATTAAAATTAGTAAAAAGGTATTAGAACACATATTATAAAAATACAATATGTTTAAGAAAGCAGAAAGAAAAATGAACATAATTAAAACAGAAATAGAGAATTTAAAATAGAAGTTATAGGATAGTTTAGATATTCCACCCTAGTTAGGGATAAAATATCCTCACACATTAGCATACTTTTGCATATAGTTTTTCTTAGGTGAGAAAAGCATAATACCACCTTAAGATTCAATCAATATTGCTCTGAGATGCTCTTTAAACCTTGAACCAAAACTATTCTAATATCACCTTTTAGCAAAGTGGCACACAAAATATATTACCCCTAAGAAAAGTGCTGTACTTAAAAAAAGGTCAATATTTACTCTAAAAGAAAAATGAGAAGGGACCAGACAAACTAGAACACTAGAAATGGAAAAACCAGAACTCAATTAAAAAGGATGTTGACACATTATGAAAAATGGACCTAATGTCACTGAACAATCTGTGTGGAAACTGTCAAATGAGAACCTAACTTGCTGTGTAAACTTTCACCAAAAACACAGTATTATTTACTGTGTCGTTGTTGTTATGTGCGTCGAGCCGAACCCGACTCATAGCGACCCCTCCTTGGGTTTCCAGGGCAGTTTCACTACAGAAGTAGGACTGCCCAACCTTCCACTCCTGGTTAGCAGACAAGTGCCTTAGCCACTATGCTACCAGAGCTCCCGTATTATTTACTACGCCCCAAAAAAAGATTAAATCAATTTCCAATTTTTAGCAAATGGCAGTAACCTATATTAATGAGGTTTCCCAAATAAAATTGTGAATGGACCATAACAAATATTCGGGAAGACTGCCAGGCTCTACTACGTCTAGACAGAATTGTTTTGTCAAGAATCATCTCATACTTTGAAACTTGCTGTCCCATGAAAGTTCTTATTACATACATCTAAATTATACAGGGATAGGCCCTACTTCCCCAAACCAACCCGCAGATAAGGTATAAATCCTAATCCTAGAGCTGACCAAAGTTCCAGAATGCAGGAAAAGATAACTGCCTTACCCAGTGAGGTCACAGGCTCACAATACTCCTTTGTGGCATCTCCGCTGAGCAACGGCTCGGCTGGGTACAGAGTCACACATTCCTCTTGAGAAAAATACACAGCCAGATCCTCAAACAGCACTGATCCCTGAAACAACACGACAGCCTCTCTTAGTACATGTGGCCTGAGGGCCAGGCCCCACTCCATATAGAAGGCCTGAGAAAAGCTAGAAATGTCAGATGTAAAGGAGAAAAGGGCTTGGGGTAAAAAGTTTCTGAGCACTGGAGATGGTGTACAAATGGGTCCTAAGGGATGGATGCTGGCAAAAAGAGAATGAAAATGGATGTAAAATGTGAAGGAGTGGTTAAAAAAAAAAAGAGAGAATAATCTCTGAATGGTAGAGAAGGGAGAGAAAAATTGAGAGAACAACTTCTTGGGAGGTGTGATAGTTTGAGCTGTGTGTCAACTTGGCTGGACCCCAGTTCTGTGTGGTTGTTCCCATGATGGGATCAAGATGACTGTGTTCTGAGTGGCCAATCTAACCAAGGGGAGTTTCCCTAGGGGTGTGGCCTGCTTCCAGGATATCCAGGGACATCCTGGGAAAAGAGACATTCTTGGAGGAATTGGGACCCTGGTGTGCTGACTACAACCTTCCGTGAGTGAGCAGCCCACCGCTCAGCCTGGAGATCTTGGATTCGTCTTTCGTTGGAGTCAACATCCAGTGTACTGCCCGCCAGCCTTGAACATCTCGGCCCCCTGCACTTGCCAAAGCTAAGGCTGTCGCCAGCCCGACGTTTCCTTCAGGGACTTTGGACTTGCCGGCTTCTATACGTTTGTTAGCCATTTTCCAAAGATAAATTTCTCTCTCTCTCTCTCTCTCTCTCTCTCTCTCTATATATATATATATATATGTACACTTTGCTGGTTTTTGTGTTTCTCTAGAGGACCCAATCTAACACAGGAGGTAAGAATGCTTAAAGGGAAAGAAAAGACTGAGCCCAAAGAAAACCAAACCTACTGGCATCGCGTGGATTCTGACTCCTAACAGCCCTACAGAACAGAGTAGAACTGCCCCATAGGGCTGCCAAGGCTGTAAATCTTAACCGAAGCAGACTGTCATCTTTCTCTCAAGGTGCAGCTGGTGGGTTCAACCCAGTGCACTCAAGCTCTTTAATCACTGTGTCACCAGGGCTCCTCAGACTGAGCAACCCAGGAAAAACAAGAAAGGGACAGGGCTTCCTGGCTTCCCTCAACATCCTGCCCTTTGCCGTTCCCTCTTTCTTCCCACAACACTCACTGCTAAGCCTCCCTTAGCATGTCATTGAGCCTACAAATCAACAGAAGTTCAATGTGCTTAAGAAACACCTGGGATATCTGGGTTTTGTTTTTGTTTTTTTTTAATTGTGATTTGGGTGAAGGTTTACAGAGCAAATTCATCTTCCATACAGCAGCTCACATACACTTTGTCTCATGACATTGACCACAGTTTCCCACAATGCAACAGCTCCCCTCCCACTTCCTGGCCATAGTTACCTCTCCCCTGTGTCCATCCCTCCATGCACTCCTGCCCCCTGAGCTGTCTCCCTGTGCATAAGCAGCCCTTCTTTCTCCCATGATTGTTCTCTCCAAGGAGTGTATCAACCTCAGGTAAATGTTCAACTCATATGCCTGTCTTTCGTTTGGCTGGAAGCCACAGGTGTGGGTTCAATTCCAGACCTGAAGGGCAGCTAGGGGCCATAGTCTCAGTGGTTCCACCAGGCTCTATCTGACCAGCAAACCTGGTCCTATCTGGGGTTTTTTGTTATTGTTTCTTTTTTAACTCAACAGGTGAAGCCCAAAACCTTGCAACTGTGAGAAGTGTTCCAGAAACTTTTTGACTCCTCCAAAGGGTCTTAATCCCATGTGGTCGTCTGAGAGATTCAGATAAACCACTTCTGCGTGCCTGGTCTAGAAGCAGAGACAGCTTCCATAGGTATGCTTGTTGTTGTTGTTGTGTGCCGTCGAGTCGGCCCAGACTCATAGCGACCCCTCCTTGGGTTTCCGAGGCAGTATCACTACGGAAGTAGATTGCCCAACCCTCCTTCCGAGGAGTGGCTGCTGGGTTTGAACCGCCAGCCTTCTGGTTAGCAGTCAAGTGCCTTAGGCACTATGCTACCAGAGCTCCTATAGGTATGCCTAGCCTTCCCCAAAGACGAGGAAGCAGGAACCAGAAAGAAGCCCCCAGAAGTTGGACGGGGGCAGGGACCTCGCCTCACCTGGGCCACGGTAGCAGAGAGCGTGGACGCCATCTGGAGGGTAGGGGGGTAGTAGTCTTCAAGTCGGGGTAGGGACTTCGGGACAAAGCTGGGAGGCGAGAGAACAGTCCTTAGACGAGCCAATCCGGCCCTAGAGCTCTCCACACGCCCCTACGCTCCCTGGCTGCCCCAAACCTCTTTAAGATCCGAACCAACGGCTCCTTTCCCCGGCCGCCCTCAGAAAAACGGAATCACCCGGCCAGCCGGCCCCCACTAACCGCTCCCGAACCTTAGAAAGCCTCGCCCTACCCGGGCACGAGCGCCAGAAAGCGACGCCCAACAGAGTTCAGAGAACTGGAGAAGCGCCCACCAAGAGCCTCCCAGACACCCATAGTGTCCCGTCCTGAAGCTGCCGGGTAAACCGCCGGAAGCTGCAAACCCCTCTGAAATATACCCAATCCTCCCCTGTGATTGGCCTGCGTGACCTCGCAGGAGGCAGTCCTTCTTCTTTGCTAACCAATCGAGCACCTTAATGGAGGACCAATAGTGCCCTGGGTTCTCTGGGAGTTGTAGTTTTTCCCTGAGTTTCTACAAGCATTTCCGGTTCCGCTAGCTGGGTCTCCCCGGTGAGCTCCATAGCTGCTGATCCCTCTGTAGTAGACCGTTAGGGTGACCACCCGAGGGGCGTAATGTTTCCGAGAGGAAAGAAATCCAGAATAGAGGAAGATTCTAGAACCTGAAAAAGAGTCTATGACGTAATGTGGGTTCTGTGGCAGTGCCCTGTTGTCCTGACACTTAGGTTGGACCGTGAAGAGAATGAGAAGCGCTGGTGGGGGCGGGGTGGACCCTGGCTTAGCCTTGGACTGGATCAGTGCACTGTGTCTTTGGTGGGTTGTCAGACCGTGGGGCATAAAGGAACGCTTCTCTGTTTTCACAGTTCATACCGCCATAGTTCTGTGTGCTAATCTCCGGCGCGAAATATTGTAGGGACCTTGTGCTCTGGTGGCCTGTGCCTAAGGCATTTGACTGCTAACCAGAAGGTTGGCGGTTCAAACCCACCAGTCACTCTCCAGAAGGAAGACTGAGTAGTTTGCTTCCATAAAGATTTACCACTTCGGAAACTCAAAAGGGGGTCACTATGAGTTGGGATCGCATGGATGGCAGTGAGGTTTCCTTTTTTTTTTTTTTTTTGGTTTTGTGCGTCCCAAGCGATCCATATGTGGCTCTGAGCCACAGCTGACCTCACGCAGGACTAGAGCCATCAATTTGCTTTGTGGGCATTTTAGTGCCTGTTCATCCCTCAGCGCACATATTTTCTGTTTGGTGCACAGTGTGGAGATTTGGAATTTGAAAATCGTGCTCCTAATAGCTATGCCATTGCCTGGCTGATCTTCGCCAATTGAAATCTTTGCTTTTTTTAGCTGCGAAGACCTCAGAAGGTCTCTCCTACCTTCCTCACTGGATATTTTCAGATTACAAGATAATGTAAGTGAAAGAAATTGTCACAAAGGTTATTATTTTTTTTTTTAAGGATGCCAGTACTTTAATAGAAAATTCTGAGTTACAAACTCAATATATGTTTTCTTATTCTAATGCTAGGCACGTGCCTGTACCTACAAGGCTGCCCAGTGAATGGTTGTATGGTTATGAAAATAGTTTCGTCAGAGTTGACAAGTGGTGGCATTTAGTAGATGTAACAATGGCAGAGGAGTGTCCTCTGACTTCCTTGAACTTCACGAGAGAGGAGGAAACTCAAGATCAACAGCCCAAGTCTGATTCCTATGAGGCAGAGGTTAGAAAGGCCTCCACTCTCCACCTTTTTACCAGTTCTGACACCAACGCACTCTACTCTGTTGGCTTCAATAATTCGTGCCTTGGCCACACAGAACTCACAATGCTTATGATTATGGGGCTTATAGGGAAGTAACAGGTTACAATTCAGGATCAGAAATGACTCAGGATACAGTTCTTTGATCCGGACAGCCTCTTCTCAGCATAGTCTGTAGATAGGCCTGTCTCTGGCCCTTAGCCCAAGGCCCTTGACCTCTGCCCTGCTCAGGCAAGTGTTACAAAGCTCTTACAACTCTGCTAATAAGTGCCTGGAGGCACCCCCGTCTGCCAGCGAGCCTCACCTGGAAGGTGCTCGGCTTTCTTGTTTTGTGGGCCCAGAAGCTCACCTTGCTAACTCCTGTTAGTCTCCTGCTTCTGCTGCCGCTGCTGCGACCATTTCTCCTCATCCCTGAAAGATGTGACAGCTCTCCTGGGTCACGGAGGTTCCCAGCGTGGGACTCCAGGATGCACTCTGCTCCCATCTCTTCCTCTTGATGACAGGTCCCTTCTTTTCGCCTCTGGGGTGGCTCATTTTAAGCCTGGCAGTATGGCAAAACTGATCAGTGCCCACGTTAGGGTTCCATACACCTTATTTTCATGGTCTCACCCTCACAAGGATATCATGCACCTTATATCCATTATTAGCAAGCTGTCGAATCCCCTTGATGGGCCACAAGCACCTCACATTTGCATAGTCCTACCCAGTCATTTGGTGGGAGTTACAAAGACTATGCCTAGAAGGGCCACATTAAGCAATTTACTGTACTGCAGTGGGTTATTAGATAGGATAGTTTCAGCTGTAACTTTATGTTTAAAGGATATTCAGAGGTAGAACAGCTATGGATTGGTTAATTCAGTGGCTGAATGACACCATTAAGGACCCACTGCTGTTGTATTTCTCCTCTGCCATCCTTAGCATGTTAGCCAAGGTGGCAACGAAGCCAGATAATGCGTGCAGACATCATGATGTCAACCTAAGAAGAGTGTTTTCTCCAAAGTTTATTAAGGAAGAAAACCTTTCCACACATCCTCACACAGAGGTCCCTGAGATTCCATTGTCCAGGATTGCATCACTGCCCATGCTAAACCAATTATTTTCATGAGTGAGAAAATGACCCTTAATTGGTTTCAGTCCACTGTGATTCACCCTGTGGCATAGGGAGGAGGGCCCAGCCTCCCCTGACCATCTTTGTGCACAAAACCAGAGCTCTGGAAGAAAGGACAATACACATGGCAGGTACTGAGCAGTATCTGCCACAAGTGATGTCTACGGACAGCTACTATGAGCAAGGCCTTGTGGGAATGGGGCACAAAACAGGTACGCCTAGAACATGGGGGTTCCAGGAGGAAGGGAGAGGTGCTGAAAGATAAGTGGATGGATGGTAATGGCAAACTTCCCTACAGGCCAGACCAGAGCAAGGCATGTGTATTGAGAAGAGCTCACAGCCTGCCACACGGAGCCTAAACCAAAGTCAGACTCATTATTGGAGCCTTGGTGCCACTCAAGGAACCATCTTCCCTTTGTCCTTCCTTCATGCTTGTATTTAATGCTGTCTTATTTCAGGGATATCACCTTTATGGCTCAGACTCTCCTGATCTAACTCTTACATGGCCCTTTTCTTTGAACCCAGTTCCATTATGACAAAGAGAGAAACAGTATCCAATGCCTGGAAATGGAGTTCATGGTATTAACTCAGTGGCTAACAAGGAGAGTTATCCCTGAAATGGGAGGGGAGACAAAATCTTCCCTAGACTGTCTAGGAGAAGCTAAATAAATAAATAAATAAGCTGATAGACCAAGAAAGAAAAAGCTTCATAATCATTAGCTATCACTCACTCAAAACACTCACTGCTATGGAGTCGATTGCAACTCATAGCGACCCCTCCCTGGGTTTCTGAAGCCGTATCACTATGGAAGTAGATTGCCCAACCTTCCTTCCAATGAGTGGCTAGTGGGTTTGAACCGACAGCCTTCTGGTTAGCAGTCAGATGTCATAGGCACTACGCCACCAGAGCTCCCCATTAGCCATCAGAGAGATACAAATTAAAACCACAGTGAGATACCATCTCACCCAGGCACTAATGGCAAAGTTCAACAAGACAGAAAATAACAAATGCTAGCAAGGATGTAGGAGCTCTGGTAGCATAGTGCCTAAGGCACTTGACTGCTAACCAGAAGGCTGGTGGTTCAAACTCACCAGCCACTCCTCGGAAGGAAGGTTGGGCAATCTACTTCTATAGTGATACTGCCTTGGCAACCCAAGGAGGGGTCGCTATGAGTCGGGTCCAACTAGACAGTACGTAACAACAACAACAGCAAGGATGTGGAGAGATTGGGACTCTCATACACTGCTGGTGGGACTGTAAAATGATATAACCATTGTGGAAAGCAATATGGGGATTTCTTAAAAAGCTGGAATTAGAAACACCATTTGACCCAGCAATCCCATTACTAGGTGTATATCCTAAAGAAATGAGAGCCAGGGCAAGAACAGACATATGCACACCCATGTTCATCACAGCACTATTTACAATAGCAGCAAGATGGAAACGACCTATGTGCCCATCAACAGAAGAATGGATAACCAAACTGTGGTACATACACACAATGGAATACTACGCCACACTAAAGAATAATGTAGAACCTGCAAAACACTGCATAACATGGATGAAATTGGAGGACATTATGCTGAGTGAATTAAGTCAATCACAGAAGGACAAATACAGTATTAGTTCATTACTGTAAAAAGTCAAAGAAAGGTTTATACCTGCGGGCTTGGGACCATAGTCACAGGGGACATCAAGCTCAATTGGCATAACATATTATACAAAATATTGTTCTACCTCCTACTCTGGCAAGTAGTGACTGGGAGCTTAAAAGCAAGCAAGTTGCCATCTAGAAGCAATGATGGGTCTCTCCTCGTCCAGAACAAAGAAGAATGAAGAAAACCAAAGTTCATGGAAACAATTAGTCCTAGCGACTGGTACACCGTCTGATCTGCAGCCTATATGACTATGAGACCAGAAGAACTAGATGGTTGCCCGGCTACCACTGTCATCCACTTGAAAGGGGATCTATGTAGGAGATCCTTGATAAAGAGGGAGAACAATGTGGAACAAAACTCAAAATCATTTGGAGGAAAAAAAGGGGGGGACCAGGTTTGCTCATCCAATAGATCCTGGTGGAACCACAGAGACTATGGCCCCTAACTGCCCTTTGGGTCTGGAATTGAACCCACACCTGTGTTTCCAGCCAAGCAAAGGACAGGCATATGAGTTGAACATTTACCTCAAGTAGATATACTCCTTGGAGAGAACAATCATGGGAGAAAGAAGGGCTGCTTATGCACAGGAAGACAGTTCAGGGGGCGATGGACACTGGGAAGAGGTAACTGTGGGGAGGAGGTGGGAGGGGAGCTGTTGCATTGTGGTAAACTGTGGTCAATGTCATGAGACAAAGTATATGTGAACTGCTGTATGGAAAGTGAATTTGCTTTGTAAATCTTCACCCAAATTACAATAAAAAAAAATGCCAATAAGTGCATTTGAAAGGAAGATTATT